AACTGACTGAGCCACCCCTATTGTAAAGCAATCTTTAAGTATTTTTTTGAACAAAGAGACAATAAAAGATTTCAAAGGCAAATACAAAGGATTGCATAGTTGGAAGCAAAACTTGACTCTCTTAATACCAGAAAACTTGGTTTACTTGAATAATCAAAGATCTGGTGAAGACAAAACATAGAATCTTTGTTCTGTAGATATATTATACGAAAGGTAAAGAAAGGTCTTTGTTCATAATTTTTTATTAAGGGCAGTTATTATTCCCATAATTTAAGGAAATGTTATCCTTTTCACAGAGAGAAAAATTGAATTCTAATGTAGCAGTGTATTTTTGATATTAACATTTTCCCTTTTTAAAATTTAAATAAATCCATTCAAATCTTAGCTTGACTATAAAATTTCCTTTTGAATATTCCTTTCTATAAGCCTTCTACAACTTTTTAGATGTATTTAGGTTTTGTCTTATTGTTTTCCTTTTTTATTTTGAAACAATCATTTTACTTTAGGACACAGTTACTTTCTTTTTTAAATTCTTTTTGGCAGTTTCAACTTTGTTAGTTTAAGTGGTTTTTTGTTTGTTTTTGTTTTGTTTTGAGAGAGTGATCTAGAGTGTGTGTGATGGGAGAGAGGGACAGAGGGAGAGAAAGAGAAAGAGAGAATCCTGATCTTAATCCTAATCTTCCATGCTCAGGTGGAGCCTGAGGTGGGGCTTGATCCCATGACCTGAGCTGAAATTAAGAGTCAGACTTTCAATCGACTGAGCCACCCAGGCGCCCCTCAAGTGGTTTTGTTTTGTTTTTTTTTTTTTTTATTTCCAAAACTTATAAAGTTTATCTAGAAAAGAAATGATATAAGGCAGTTGTTAACAGAATGATTGAAGATTTACTCTTAGAGGATGGTGTAATTCCTTATGCATTGCGTTAAATGAATATAAATTCCTTCTATACAGTATCATGAAAGTAAACCATACACTTCTAGGGAAATTACAGTGTGAGAGTTATTTGTCAGCAGACTCATCCTGCCTTTGCTCTGCTAGAATGGGAATGATAAAACAGGCAAGGACAATAGGAGCCCCATATCATTGCTGAGGAGGGTTGTTCTGAATTAGGCAGAAGAAAGATTAGAAAGGTAGGACAACTCCCTAAACTGATGGCAGAGCTGTATTTATAAGGGAAACCGCCACCAGAATTTCCAGCCTTGCAAGTAGTTGTAAGAAATGGGGGAAGTTCATTACTTTTTTTTTTTAATGTTTTTATTTATTTTTGAGACAGAGAGAGACAGAGCATGAGCAGGAGAGGGGCAGAGAGGGAGGCAGAATCTGAAGCAGGCCCTAGGCTCCAAGCTGTAAGCACATAGCCCGACACGGGGCTCAAACTCTCAGACTGTGAGATCATGACCTGAGCTGAAGTCGGACGCTTAACCCACTGAGCCACCCAGGCGCCCTGGGGGAAGTTCTTTTAAACAGATTGCTGCCTGGCTGAAAATTTGAAAAGACAAGGCAACAAAGTATAAACCCATCTAAGAGTGATTACAGCTTGGTCTCCAGGAGTTACCACTATGTCTATAGGATAGAAAGGGTGGTTGTTTTGATATTGGCCTTTTCAGCTGGCCACATAGACCTTCTGTTGCTCAATTTACCGGGATATTAAGAGCAGTGGCTTTTAAACATGTTGGATCATTTCACAGTAGGAAATATAGTGTATATTAGGTCCCAGTACATACACTTATAACACCATGAAAGTGACTAAAATAAGAGTTTAATAAATGGACACATATTTTCTATTTTCAGTCTACCCCATGCATGCAGTTTTTCATTTTATGAAATTATTCTTTCTCATAATATTTTAAAATTTAAATTAAAAAGCCAAGGGGCGCCTGGGTGGCGCAGTCGGTTAAGCGTCCGACTTCAGCCAGGTCACGATCTCGCGGTCCGTGAGTTCGAGCCCCGCGTCGGGCTCTGGGCTGATGGCTCAGAGCCTGGAGCCTGTTTCCGATTCTGTGTCTCCCTCTCTCTCTGCCCCTCCCCCGTTCATGCTCTGTCTCTCTCTGTCCCAAAAATAAATAAAAAACGTTGAAAAAAAATTAAAAAAAAAACAAAATAAATTAAAAAGCCAAAAGCAGATCAACTCATGTTTAGCATTTGATGTTTATCTTATTTGGAAAGATGATTTAGAAAGCCAACGAATATCCATTATTTAATTTCACTTAATATAAACTTTGATCTTATTTATAATTATTTAAATTACTTGTCTTTAGTCATTATACGTGGATTAGCTATTACACAGCTAATCATCATTTTAAGTTATTTGTTTTTTTCCGCTGTTGACAAATTGTGCATCATAGAGATAAATGAGCTTATTTGATTAGTAAATCCAGGTAAAAAAAAAAGTTGTTTATCTCATTATATTTAACACCGATAATTCTGAAGACAGGATTAAACCAACAAACTTGAATTAGCTTTTGTTTATCAAAGGTTATTTTAGATTACATGAACTTGAAAAAAATTGCATTAGTTTTTTTATACTTCTGAGAAATTTGAGAATACTTAATTTATAAGCACTTGACTTTTCTCAAGCCAATTAAATAGAACTCTTTTACAAACTAATTCTGGCAATACCAACCAGAGGTAGAACAATATCACATATCTCTAACATATACATATAAGCAAACAGAGGCAAAGACCTTATGCTTCTTATTTTTTTGTTTTGTTTTGAATTTTAGCCATGTCTCAGGTATGAAACTCAAAAAGAATAGTTGGATCCAAATTATGGTTTTGGCAGATGGACAAAAAACGTTAGGGTTATTGGCATAGGTGGCCCAAGTCTTTTACTAAAGACTTTTGTATTATTTGTGTGTTATAAGGATCCTTATAGAACTGTTTTTGAAGCCATTTGTGTCTTTTAGAAGCTTCTGTACATCAATCAAGGAGCACATTCTATTGTCTCTCAGAAGTTTGGATTCCTCTCTTCTAAGGGTCCCTTTAAGGTGAATTTATCTAAGTTAAAGTTTCCCCAGCATGGCTTTCACTTACAAGCATATGAATACGTTGGTAGAAATCAGAATAACCAGGATTATAAATCTGAATGACCAAATTGTTATTATTTATTTTTTTAGCCAACTCTAGAGGGTCTTCAAGGGTATTAGGCAATTCTTTAGTAATAGCTCACAATTTAGCTGTAGTCCAAGGGTGATAAGAAACAGAGGGAGTTCCTGACCCCCCTTCATTAGGTTTTATCTCAAAGGGTGCTTGAATGACTGGAGGATTCAGGGGGGGCTTCAAGCTTGTTGTTATAGGCGAGAAGCTCAGCTAAATTGGGGTATATGGGTGGGCGGTGGGGGAAAGAAGGCAGAGAAGTAGTAGTGACAGAGGTTGGTTCAGGAGCTCCAGAGAGTTTTTCTAGTTTGGATAGCCTCTGAGAAAGGTCAAAGTTGTCTTTGGAGAGCCAGGATTCATTTCTTATAAAGGAAGAGAGTTTTGAATCATTTGATTGGCTACTTGGAGGCCTCCAAATACCAACTGAAATATGCTTCTCATTTATTTTGCTTGGTTTTATACCCTCTTTCCAGTTGTACACGCAAATAAATTAATTTTAGAATTTCAAAGGATCCCCAAAGTGACCACTGTGATTTTATTTTAGTTTAAGTTTATATATTTATTTTGAGAGACAGCAGGAGCAGGGGAGGGGCAGAAAGAGAGTGAAAAAGAGAATCCGAAGCAGGCTCTGTGCTGTCAGAGCAGAGCCCAAGGAGCCTCTCACTCAGGAACCCAACTGTGAGATCATGATCTGAGATCACGTACAGAGTAGGACGCCTAGCTCACTGAGCCACCCAGGCACCCTGTGAGCATTGTAATTTTAAATGTAGAGTACTCACCAGATAACTCTGGGTAGGAGAGCGTTAATACCTTGTAGAAGCCTTACCAAACAGAATCCTCACAGGAAAGTGTTAATCCCCTACAAGTACTGGCCAGCATCAGACAGGGATGTGTGACTCCCCTCTGAGAAATTCTAGGCAACACAATTGGGTCAGAGAAGTGTTAGTCCTCTGTATGAGCCAGCACCAAAAAGACACCCAAAGAAAGGCTAGAACCTCAACCAACGAGGGAGATTCAGAGCCGCCGGCGGGGGGGGGGGGGGGGGGGGGGGG